AAATGAAAATACATAACCACACAAGATCCTGTACACACATGCTCATAGCAGAATTCTTCATTATAGTCAAAAAGAAGGATCAACCTAAATATCCATCAACTGATGGATGGATGAACAAAGTTTGATATCCATACAACGGACTCATATTCAGACATATAAAGGAATGGGGTACTTATAAATGCTTAAACATGCTTATACCTTGCAAACTGTGATAACTGAAAGCCAGTCACAGAAGACCACATGATTCTACTTACATGAAATGTCCGGAATAGGCAAATTCATACAGGAAGCAGATCAGTGGTTACCAGGGACCAAAGGGAGAGGTAATGGGGAGTGACTGTTAAATGGATTTAAGTTTCTTGTAAGGGTGATGAATGTGTTCTGGAATTAAATATTTGTGATATACTAAAAACTGTGGAATTGTAAACTTAATAAAGGGTAAATTATGTGGTATGTCAATTATCTCAGTTAAAAAAAGAAACTTGTGGGGGGGGTAATGCTTATTAAAATGTGTATTCTCAGCCTTTCCCCGGCTTACTGAAGTTACGTCTCTTAGGGCAGCGGCTGGAAATCTTCATTGTGGTTGACACTAGATGAAACCAGGGCACAGAGAGGTTTAAAAAATCACGGTCCACTTTTCCTTTTAGTAGAATTCCTGTTAATAAATGTAAATAAAGACTGATGGAAATAGAGAATCAGTATTTGGAGAAAAAATTCCCAGTAATAGTTGTAGAGAATCACAGTGTCTCAAGTTGGTGGGTGCAAGGATGATGAGAAATAGAAAATGTACGTAGTATTAGAGTATCTCCCCGCAATTTCAGAAGGAAGAATAGTAGCTTCACAACAGAGAAACCAGGGAGATACCATCTTCACCAAGTGATCATAGCTAACATAACAGTAATGGGGTGTACTGACGTCATGTGCCCCCTGATATGATGCACAAGGCAGGATATAACATCACTTCTGTGAGATCTTGCTAAAAATATGTAACCTGAATTTAATCCTAAAGAAACATCAAATAATCCCAAATGAGAGACATGCTCCAAAGCAGCTGGCCAGGTACTCTTAAAGGTCATTAAAGTCAAAGAAAGACTGGGGCCTGTCACAGATAGGACGAAAAGGAGAGAAGAGACCTAACACAATGTCTGGTCCTGCATCAGGTCCATCCTAGACCAGAAAGGGACATTAGTGGGTCAGTTGGGGAAGTTTAAATAAGATTAGACTTCAGTTTCCTGGTTTTGATTATTGTGGGATGGGTATATAAGATATTAACATTTAGGGAAGCCAGGTAAAGAGAACACAGTCATTCTTTGTGCTGTTCTGCAACTTTTTTGGTAAGTCTAAAATTATTCCAAATTGAAAAATTAAGAAGAAATCACTGTCCTAGAGCGTCATGATTCCTAATGTGAAAACATCGGTGTAGCAGAAAGACCTCTGGCTTTGGAATCAGGCCTTAGACAGACGCCTCGCTCCATCACCTACCAGCTAGATCTTGAGCCTCTCAGCCTCAGTCCCTCTTCTGTGAGATGGGATTAATCATGTCTGTGTTCTAGCGTGGTTGGAGGGTTAAATGAAATGAAGTATGTAAGGTGCTAAGTGGGGTGCCTGCATGCCACAGGTACTTGGGAAATACCAGCCTTCCCCCAGTTCACACGTTCAGTTTTCCTCTCCATTCACCAGGCTCAAGTCCCTCTCTCACCTTGGAGGCTGAGATTCTGTCCTCTGGACTGGGCTTGTTGTGGGCTGGCAGGGAGCCATCTAAGCATCCTGGCCTGGCAGCTGAGAAAAGGTGCATCACGAGAAAGAGGGGATTTGACTGGGGTGGAGAGGGGAAATCAGTCTGGCCTGGGGAGCTTTCTCACAGGCACTTGTTGGCAGGCTGCTTAAAGTTACACCAACTTCAAACAAAAAGGGTTTTCAGACACAAAGGAAGGCTCAACCTGACCAGTGCCAGGCCTGGCGTGGCATTTGAATTCAGAAATCCAGGTCCTGGGAGCTCACAGACTGGCCAGATCATCCTGGAGCTCTCCTGCCCCTGTTCCAGCACTGCCAAGAACCTACAGTAGAGTTCCCCTCCCAGGCCTGCTCTCATTGTTGACCCTGGGTCCAAATTAATTAGAGTTAAAGAAGAGCCAGTTCCCCCACTGTGTTTATTCTGTTGACAGCTGAGACTGGGCGACAGGCCCAAAGGTGGTGGACTTTCCACCTGCCTCTACTTCTGAGCCCTCCCCACTTTGCAGCATGTGGGTATATGTGCTGTGGTGGTTGTCTGAATGGATTGTTTTAAAATAAAACAAAGCAGGAAGTGTTAGCTCCCCATGGGGCCAGGTACTTTGGGTGATTTTTCCAGTCTGTTTTCACCTAGGTCCCTCTGTGTTCTGTCACTTGGCCAGAGGGGCACAAGAGAGTGAGCCAGAGTTAAAGGCACAGTCTTAGGACGTTGGAATGACTGAGAGCATTTTAAATGTGTTTCCCCTGTGAGCCAGCAATTCTACCTCTCAGTGCCCACGCTGGTGGAGCACAGCTGCACAGACAGGTACCTGTAAGGCTTCATCCCAGATTTACTTGGATCTAGAGTAGTCTGTCTATATTATTATTATTGTTTTATCTCTACATATCTGTAATCTATATCCATATATATACATGTAGACCTATATTTGTATCTACATACATATGGAGAGAACACAGCCTAAATATCTACCTGTAAAGAAATGGCTAAATAATGATGTATTTTATTTTGGTGAAAGTACGTATACACTAGAATATGATGCTTGCAGGTAAAATCGTAAATCTGTGTGTGTGCTCGTGGCCCAGACTCCATGATACATATGAAGGACCAGTTATGATTAGAACAAAGCCGTGCCTCATCCACAGTTGACGCAGAGCTCCCCTGAGCGGAGGAGCTCTACCTTCCTCATCTCTCCATCCCTAGCATAGCTCTGGCACATAGTAGGCCCTCAAGTCGCTGACTTTGGAATAACATCGGTTTTGGGAAATTTGTGGCTTAACTGAGTTTGCTGTTATTATGTGGGTTACTAATTTAATTCATTAAATTAAGGAACAACCAGGCCCGGCATTGATTCTTTCTCAGTGTTGAAGTGGACCATGTAATTGGCAAACTACAGTTTGTGGGCCAAATTCTGCCAGTTGCCTGTTTGGTAAATAAACTCTTACTGGAACACAGCCACGTCCATTTGTTTATGGATTGTCTGTGGCTGTTTTCGGTACACTAGCAAGAATTGAGTAGTTAACAACAGAGACTCTGGCCCACAAGGCCTAAGATAGTTACTATCTGGCCTTTTCCAGAAACAGTTGGTTGACCCTTGTCCTAAACCCTTCTCTCAGGGCAGCCCTGTTTCTTCCAGATTCTGAGGGATATCAAGAGGAATTGGCCCTTCCTGTTGCTGCTGTATGACTCAGTGGGGGTGAGATGACTGTCTGTAAAAGCCTGGACTGATGGTTACTTTATTGTAAGTCAGTCTTTAAGAAAGTCACCCCATCCCCTTGCCTCTCCCATACACAAAGCCCTGCAGCAGCACCCTGGCCTGCCCAGGTCCTCCATGGGCATTGGCTGTAGAACTTCTAAAATACCTTGTTTCTTAAGTAACCCACCCCACCCACCCAACAGACTTGATACCCTCGAGGACAGTCCCTCTGGCCATGATCTTTGTGTCCTCAAGCCCTAGCAGAATGCTGACACTTAGCAGGTGCTTAATAAATATATGGTGGATAAATACGTCAATGAAAAGTGTTTTAAAAATAGTCACTTTTAGTCTGCTGTTCCTGGGAGGCCTATTCAGAGCGCATTCACCAGAAATTAAGGAAGTCTCTGCTGTTGTGTGAGTGGCAGGCAAACGGCTCACAGGTCCAGTGCTTCATGGGTGGGGAGGGAGCGTTCCGCTTCTTGCCACGGGGCTGATGAAGGCGGAAGGGGGGCTTGGCGCATCATGGAGCCTGCCCATCGCCATGACTGCCTTGGCCCCACCAGGTCCAGGGACACGCATGCGCATCGTGTTCTTCAAGGCTGCCGAGATGCTTTTCCCAGGGGTCAGATGGTCACCTGTTTGCCCAGTGGGCTCTTGACATCTGATATTTTAGGTCATGTTTAGGAAATTCGGGGCTGCCATGGGAAAGGAGAATCCAGTCTGATGGGAACTTGAGGGGCAGGCAGCGGACGCAATTCTCTCTCCCAGAGAACCTAGCAACTGGGTTAGCGTTTCCAGAAGGGTTTTTGTCTGTTTCACAGGCTAATTTCAGCAGTGGGGTGATTCTCTAGAACAATGTGCCACACAGAGTGACGTCCCTGACAAGCTCGAGTGTTAACTTCAGGAGGAATCACTTATTCAGGCCTGTCCAAAGCACGGAAACACAAGAGCCCTCTTTGCAGCAGCGCGCTGCCTGCCCAGGTTTGTGGGACCTGCCTCGCAGGGGAAGTGGCTCCTGCTTTCCCTTTGAACTGGGATGGAGGGCCAAGGAAGAGGGGCGGCGAGGGAAGGATTAACCCCCCTGCTTGTTCTATAATGGGGATATTCATTTTGCCTTGTGGAGGGCGTCTTTCATTGGAATGAAAAAGTTCCCCCATGCAGTATTTATCAAAAGATGCCCTCATGAGGCGCAAAGAAAGGGGGAGAGAAAGAAATCCTTTGGAACAAGAGTCTGAGGACAAGAACACACGCTAAATATCTGAGCTGAGAGGGCAAGTTGAGTCTGGCAAGTGAGGAGGGAAGCTATGCCAGGTGGCAGGGGGCTCGGGGCAGTGTTTTGAGCCGAGCATCTCGCCGGCCTGGGCTGCAGCTCCCAGGACCCCCGTCAGGAACAACCTCCAGCCGGCAGCGGAGCAGGAGCCCTGGGATGCTAATGGCTCTTTAGGAATGCTAAATGGAGCGTTTCAGTGGCGACAAAGGGGCAAAATGAGGGGAGAAAGGAATTTTAGTTTTGAAGTTTCCTTAGGGGAGAACCAAACAATGGTGATTTAAATGGACAGTGTAAAAGTTTTATCAGTGTTAGGAGAAAGGAGAGTGAAGTGCACATGCCCTCTTGGCAGCATCCTGGCTGGGTTGCATGAGTACCAAAGCAGGTCAACAGAGGCTGGGCTGGATTTGCTGGGTTTCAGGCCTCCTGCATAGAAGGCAACAGCTTGAGGTTAGGACCACTAGGTGAGTGCCTTTGTGAGCTGAGGTTTCTACCTGCCTTGTTGCATTAACTCACCCATTCATGCATTCATTCACTTATTCATAGTCACATTCATTCATACACACATTCTGTCTACTCATTTACTTATTCATTTTCTCATTCATTCATTCACTTATCCGTTTATTAACTCATTTGGCTGTCAACCAGTTGCTGAACACTCACTTTGTCCAGGAAGACTTCTGAATGCTGCCAACACCACAGTGGACAAGCAGGGTCTCTGCTCTCATGAAGCAGTTGTTCTCTGGGGAGACAGATGTTAGAAGTCACTGATGAGAGATCATAGCAGGTAGTGGTCGGAGGGCAGCCTTAGGGCACAGGGCTGGGGAGGCCAGGCCTCTCTGAGGAGGTGCCTGTGCACCCAGACCTGAAGGAGAAGGAGCCGGCCATCCAGAGATGGGACCATCTTGCCATGTTTGAGGAAGAGACGACAGGCCAGGGGGAAGGAAGAGGGGGAGTGGCAGGGTGGGCTTTGTGGGTTCGGTTAGAAGGTTAGATTTTATTTTAAGGACATGGGAAGCTCATGGAGGGCTTCAGGTCTGGCTGCTGGTGGGTAATGGGGACACAGGAGAAGCAGGGAAGGCCCTGGGCTGGAGAGCTGAGTTAGAGCACATCAGGGAGGTCTGACCTGGTGGGTCTGAGCTGGGGGCAGGTCAGCCTGAGCTGGAGAGCATAGGTGGCAGGTGGTGGCCCGGGGCAGTTTGGGGCCAAAGAGCAGCACTCTTGCAGCTTGGGGCAATGTCCAGAAGAGGATGAGTGAGGCCATTAGCCCAGCCCACTGGGGACAGGACTGTGGTCACCGAGTGGGACACTCAAAACAGGTGAGCATTTAAGCAAGTTTGCCTAGGCTCTGCTCAGAGTTCAAAAGTCATATCTCCACCCCCTGAGGTGTGGTGAAGGCAGCAGTGACAGAGGGCCCAGAGGCCCCAGGACACACTTGGAGCAGTTACCAAGTACTGATGGAGGGAACCCTTTACCAAAAGCGAAAGGCAGGGTGATAACACCCACAGAGGCTAGCTTGTAGCCCCGTCCCTCTGTTCACACCACAGTGGTTTCTGTCAAACACAGTTTCTATCAAACACTCCTCTGCCCTACAGTGCACGCCCCACTGGCCAGGAGGGAGGCCTGAGGAGCATTTCATAGAGCCTCAGGATGTAACTTGAACACATTACCTTCATTAGGGCTTCATTAGTTTCCATGTGGGGGCCCCAGGAAGAAGTAAAGTGATCTTTCTCAGGTGTGGGAATACTCGGGGCACCTCTCTTCTTGGCCCACACTGTTGTTAATGAATCAACCAGGTCCCAGTGCCCTGAGACTCTCTCGAGTACAGCAAGGGTACTTTGACCCTCTGGGCCGCTGGAAACATCCAGGAACGTGCTCCAGGCAGGTGAGCAGGGTGGAAGGTGGACCAGGCCATGGGAGAACTGGCAGCAGGGATTGGTTGCTGGAATCTAGGAGAGGGGCTGACTTGCCTGGGTTAGAAACCGGGATGGGAAGGAAGCGAGCTGGTCTTCTGAAGGAAGATCTAATAGGATTTGGAGCTGGTTCAGTGTCAAGGATGAAGAGAAGCTGGCGAGACAGGTAGTCAGGAGAAGCCTCACCGTGCATGTGTGTGGGCTGAGCACTGTGCCCACTCGGCAGCCATGCGGAGATACTCTGTGATATAATAGGGGCACCCTTCTTGTCTCACCTGCTTATCAAATGCTTTTTATCCTCAGGATCCTTCTTGGTACAGTCTTAAGTGGGAACTCAGTGAGAAAACGGGTTAAAGTTGAGCTGCTCTGATTGAAGGAGGAATCAGTGAAATGGGAGCTGGACTGCATCATCCTCTCCCCCAACCAGGCCCTGTCACCTGCACCCCCACCAGTGTGACCAGAAGACCTCCAGGTCCCTGGGAGATGCAGTTTGTAAAGAAAGGCTTGGGACGAACTTACACAACCTTTATTTATTATTTATTTATTTATTCCCTCCTCCTTTTTTTTGACCTCACTGAATTTATGTAAACAACAGGTGATCGGGGATGTTAGCTGAGACAATTTCATCACTTCATCCTCGATTTGACTTGTGACGGGTTAATTGCACACGGAGCCGGCAGTGACCCCTGAGTCTGTGTCCTAGTTATTGCCCAGGGTTATTGCCCATTTGCTTGCTTTTTTGCTCTTCCTCTTGTTCTACTTTATGGGACCAATAGTGTCATCTGTTGGGGTCTTTCTCGGTGACCCCCTTCCCACTCTGCTTGACATACCTCATCTCCCTGTTTGTGTCGTTTTCTCAGGTGCTTTCCATTCCTTAATACTTTGGCTGCTGTTTCTTCCTTGTTTTTATAATTCATCTGCTGATTGCAGTTTACAAAACAGCTCCATAAAACCATCAGGCGGGAAGGCGGCGTCCTTGACCCACAGGGTGGGCTCATTGACCGGCCTGCCATGATCTGGCTTGAGAGGCTGCATGTAAGAAGATTTTCCGGAAAATTACACATAGCTCCTCTCAGGGCAACACTTTTCTATTTCATCTTAATATTTTTGAGTAACAGTCTTTCTAAAATGCATTTTATGCTTATCTGCCTTCTTAAACAGCACTGCAAACAATGTAGCTTTTTCTTAATGCCTCAGGTCACCTGTATGAAGGTCAGTTATCACATTTTGTTGAGTTTAGTGTTCAGAAGTTTGTCGGACTCAATGTTCTGGCCGTAAGTGGCCTCAGGTGACTAGCCATGTGTTAAAAATTAGCTTTGTGTATTAAATGCCCCACTTCTCCTACTGAAATCAGAGTAATTAAACCTATCCTACAGAATTTTTGTGAGGCTTAGGGCCTAAGTAAGATACTTGACCTATGACAGGCCCTCAAAAATAGGTAGCTTAAGGAAAACAATGAAAAATGCCAGTAGATGCTGGTGAAGTTAGATGTTTTTCCTTGTGCGTTCCTTTACTGTGTCTGGCCTGGTTTTGTTTTTGGAGCCCCAGGTATCAGGACCTCTCACTTCCCAACACACACACCTAGTACTTGTTTTTAAGAAGTTGAGGAGAAGTGAACACAAGAGAGGCTGATGGTGTAGTGGTTTAAGAGCCCACATTTTGCAGTCAGACTGCCTGGGTTCTAATCTTGGCTCTGCCATTTCCTGCCATGTAATGTTGAGCAAATTCCTTAATTTCTTTGCGTCTCAGTTTACTCATCTGAAAAATGGGGATAATCACAGTGCTTACCTTGCAGGGCATTATGAGCATTCAATAAGTTAATATACAAAAGCACTTAGCAAAGTGCTTGGCACATAGTAAGCCCTCTATATTATCATTCACTGGGATGCCTACCTATTAAGTGGCAGGCACAATGCTGGGATCTAGGCATAGGATAAGGGTATAATATGAAGGTCTAGGTGTTGTTCCTGTCCCGCAAATAAGCCTGGAGGAAGTGGAGCAGATACACGTTGAGGGACTCATGGAGGTATTTCAAAAAGTTAAACAGTTACCGTATGACCCAGCAATTCCATTCCTAGCTATATACCCAAAATAACTGAAAGCAAGAAATCAGAATCTAGTACACCAATGTTCTTGGCTTTATTTACAATAGTCAAAAAGGTGGGAGTGATCCAAATGCCCATCAGTGGGTAAGTGTAAAGTCCACACAATGGAATATTACTCAGCCATAAAAAGGAACGGGGCAGAGAAACATTGCTACAGCACAGATGAACATAAAGACATTATGCTAAGTGAAAGAAGCCAGACACAAAAGCCCACATAGCATTTGACTCCATTTATAGGGAATATCCAGAATAGGCTAATCCATTGAGATAGAAAGCAGATCAGTGCCTATCAGGGACAGGAGCATGGGTGAAATGGGGAGTGACTGCTTAGTGGTCATAGGGTCTCCTTGGGGGTGATGAAAGTACTTTGAAACTAGATAGAGGTGATGGTTGTACAACACTGTAAATGTGCTAAATGCCACTGAATTGTGCACATTAAGTGGTTAATTTTATGTTCAATTAAAATTAGATGCATGCAGATGGGAAGACACCAGAGGGCAAGTACAAACCTCCAGGGCCCCGTGCAGCTCGTGAGCATGACTCTGAGCACTGGGGGCAGGAAGGGAGGTCAGGGTGGCAAGAATGACATTGGTCAGAGGAAATGGGAGACATTGCATTCAGGGTGGGTCTGTATAAATGTGTGGGATATTTTATACAAATACTAGCCATTATGAATTAGGGTAGGCTATGTAAGGATAAAAGTATATTTTGTAACAGAAGTAACGCTAACTGCCAAATGAATGGTACTGACAATGGGTTTGGGGACAGGTGCAGTAGACAGCACAGGAAGCCACAGTGCCCTTTGCAGGACACCGGGTCATTTATCTGTTCTGTCATTGAGTGCTAGCTAGCTCTCAAGTGGGACAGGAAGGAGCAGGCAACAGAGGTTTAGGAGAAAGGTGTAATAAAAAAGCATAAAATTGGGAAACTTACTTTACAACTAGTCACTCTGCCACACTGACCTTAATTGAGCCCCCTTGGGTTGTTTGCTGGGGAAAGACCACCATGTTCTGTTGTAGTGGTGGAACACTGGTCCAACCAGTAGAGCCCCATAGCTTCCAGGAAGGAGGAGAAGGCTGGTGGGAGAGGGAAGGGAGGGCTCCGTCTGGGTGACTGGGTTCTCTTTTCTAGAAAATAGAGGACTGGGTGGCAGCAGAAATATGGCCGAGGCAGGTGGCAGATTCTCAGGTGAGTACAAGAAGTGATGAGTGCCCAGGGGAAGGGGTGGACTGGCATTTTCCGGCACCATCCAGTCAGTGAGATAGTTTGGCTAGAACCTACGCTTGGAGCGGGGAGCAGAAGGGGATGGATGGACAGGCAAGATGATGCCAGGCTAAAGAATGCAGGATTGGTATAGGCAAGTTGTTGTCACACTAGCTAGCTGAGTGATTATCACACTTGACTGTGTATGGGAATAGGAATCACGGATTGGTGGCGTCCTCCCTCAGAGATCTGGCAGTTCCTGGGTGGGGCCCCGGAATTTGCATTTCTAACAAGTTCCCTAAGTGGTGCTGGTCCTGCTGGTCTGGGGACCATACTCGTGGGTCGTGAGGGTCAGGACCAGTTTTTATTTTTATTTTTATTTATTTATTTAGTTTTTATTGAAGGATAGTTGACACACAGTATTACATTAGTTTCAGGTGTACAACACAGTGATTTAACATTTATATACATGATAATTCTAGGTACCAGCTATCACCATACCAAGTTGTTACAATATTTTGACTATATTCCTTATGCTATACATTACATCCCGGTTACTTATTTATTTTACAATTGGAAGTGTGTTATTTTTTTTTTTTTTGTGAGGGCATCTCTCATATTTATTGATCAAATGGTTGTTAACCACAATAAAATTCTGTATAGGGGGGTCAATGCTCAATGCACAATCATTAATCCACCCCAAGCCTAATTTTCGTCAGTCTCCAATCTTCTGAAGCATAACGAACAAGTTCTTACATGGAGAACAAATTCTTACATAGTGAATAAGTTACATGGTGAACAGTACAAGGGCAGTCATCACAGAAGCTTTCGGTTTTGATCATGCATTATGAACTATAAACAGTCAGTTCAAATATGAATATTCATTTGATTTTTATACTTGATTTATATGTAGATACCACATTTCTCTCTTTATTATTATTATTTTTAATAAAATGCTGAAGTGGTAGGTAGATACAAGATAAAGGTAGAAAACATAGTTTAGTGTTGTAAGAGAGCAAATGTAGATGATCAGGTGTGTGCCTGTAGACTATGTGTTAATCCAAGCTAGACAAGGGCAATAAAACATCCACGGATGCAGAAGATTTCTCTCAAAACGGGTGGGGGGGGGGAGGTTCTAAGCCTCACCTCTGTTGATCCCCATTTTCTCACCTGATGGCCCTCCTGCAGGACCAGTTTTTAGTAGGGGACAAGCTTGATGGCATGGTGCAAATGGTAGCCACCGGATATGGCAGTGAGAGCAATAACTGGTCAAATCAGGTGGTTTTATTCCTCAATCAATCTCATACCTTTAGACCTGGATGTGCGTACTGCTAGCAAAACTCTTTGTGGGCGTTGTTACATCTTGATGACCACAGACTTTCTTGGTATGAAGTTTTTCCAACTTGATATTAGGGGCCGTGGCTTTAAAAAAAGAATTTTATGCTCTTTCCTGGACTGGAGGAGCAATCAAGAAAAATGTTGTTTTTGTGCCCAAAGTGTTGAGATTTTCAGGATGTTTGAATGAGTTATAGGGACATTG